ATTTTACTTTCTCCATAAAGCAGTGATTACCACATATGAATATAATACAGAGAAGTCTAAACATTTAAAATTATCACACATATCTGAGTCCAAATATCACACACACACACACACACACACACACACACACACACACACACACACACACACACACACACACACACACACACACACACAAATCTATCAGCTTGCACTAAAAAAAATGCCTTCAATCAGCTTGTCTTTTTAAATGTGAAAAATTAAATCACAGGAGTTTAGTAAGTATTTCCTGAGATTTGCTTATCTGGCTGAACAGCAAAAATCATGCAAGGGGCAGCAAAGGAATATGGGTCACGCTTGCAGTAGGGTGGAAGAAGAATGAAAGGATGAAAGGAAACTACTGAAATGCCCAGACTTCTACATTTTTCGACATTTATATAAAGTTACCTTTGTCTAAATTAGCTGAAAAGTTCAACTAAACAAGAAGCAAAGTGAATGTGCTTTGACATAAACAAGAGGCTATTTTAAGCACTACATTAACACCGGCCCTGACAGGCAGGACGCTCTCACTTTGTGCGTGTGTGTGAGAGCGAGAGAGTGGGTGCGGTTGATTTCCTGTAACTCTTGCCGAAACCTATTCCTGGAAGTCACAAACAGTTACAGAAACAAAATGCTGCTTACAAACGAATCCATCGGTAACAATGATGACATCATATATGACCTAACTGTTAGTTGTGAAACTACTTCAAATGAAATTTTCAAACAACAGTAGCTCAGCTAAAAAGGGCAAATCGACTGTGAAACTGCTAGTACGTGAAGCCGAACTGAATTGAATACAAACGCTCGAAAAGAAGTTGAAACGGAAAAACATAAACTTTGTCCCTGCATGCGTTTGGAAAATCACCTAATCTTCACAACCAATGCAGCAACATTAACCAGTTTATTCAGCTTCTCTGTTCACATTGTCAAGCAGGAATAAAAAATTGCCTTTACCTGCTCTTTATGTGGCTGTCATTTGCTTTTTTTCAGGTTCTTTTTTTTTTGAAATGGGCGTTCCTCAAGTGTTGGCGTTTACTGAGTAAACAGTAGCATACTGGGGCGTGTCAAGAAGTGAGGCATGTGGTGGCACTTACCCAAAAGGCTGGCCTGGACTGAATTAAGCACCATTGGATGAGAGCATGAATTAGACCAGTAGGAATGTAGTGCATTGGCTGACGTACAGTTTTAAAGCAGTTTATTTAATTATGCTTGTGTTATGCTATTTGTTGCTTCTGCACTTCTATAATTTGGATGCAAGTTGCTTCCAATATTTATATACTTCTTCTTTTGCAAAAGATCGAGCCATCCAAAAACAAAATCACCCCACAGCTGCAACATTAAAGTGATACACAAAACAATAGTCAATAACGATGATCTAATATATACGTCACCTAATATTTTGAGACAAATCTGCCTTTCTGGGACCTAGAAAGGCACCTATGTAGCTGTCTATATAGGAGTATATTTAGGCAATTTAAATATATACTCAGCAGTTGT